TTAGTTTACTTCCCATAATGACTGGTCAGGAACATGTCACCAAACAATTAATCGACGGTATAGAAATGTATAGTTCTAAACTTGATGAGACATCGAAAAATTCACTTATAGATTTTGTTATAAAAACAAGATTATCTCCTAGCGCGAAACTTCGCTTACGCGGTAGCTATACAACAGTTGGTTCATTGCTCAGTGACATGAAAAAGTATTTAGTACAAAAAAAATCGGCAGTCGCTCTTCAGTCTCGGTTACAAAATGTAAAACAGGGAAATAGGTCAATAGAAGCATTCGGTAATGAACTAGAAGATATCTTCTCTAATTTGACATTAGCACAGGCCGATGGCGATAGTTCAAAATATGACGTATTGCGACCAATTAATGAAAAGATCGCTATAAAACGCTTTGCCGATGGTTTGGCAAACTCTAGATTGAGTATTATTATTGCATCAAAGGAATTTCTTTCTCTTCCTGAGGCAATCCGTAGTGCTATAGACGAGCAGACGCTTTCTACCAGTGGGGAACAAGTTATGAATTTTCGTCACCACCCTAAGTCCACGAAAACATTTCATTTTATTAATAAAGGGTTCCGCGGTAGAAATATTGGCAATAATTATTATAGTAACTCGCGTGCTCAATACGGTAACCCGATCCAGTCGCATAATGTGAGCGCGCCGCGCACGTTTGCGCCGCGACGTGGTTCCGCTCGAGGTCGAGGTGCACCCTCCCCGGGCGCGCGCTGGTCAACGCCAGGCGCGCAGTATCAGCCCCGTACACGAGGCTATTCCCGTGTCCACCATACGTACTGCGACACTGAGGTAAGGCAGCCTCGAGCTCCAACCTCAACCATGAGTGAGAGTCAGTTTTTTCGTTCCTCAAACGAAAACAGAGCATGTAGTTCTCAATTATAATACTTCGAGTACGGTAGCTTTTAGTTTAGGAGATAGGGTAATACATTTATTAATAGACACTGGTGCCAGTTTATGTGTAATTAAGTATGAATATTTAGCTAAGGTATTTAGTGATTTGAAAAATAAAATTGTTCCCGAAAGATTAACTATTAGAGGTGTTAGCGGTAGGTTAATATCAGAAGGTTACATTTATTTAGAATTAAGTAGTAACAGTATGACTTTTACACATAAATTTTACGTATTTAAGAACCTGTCATGCTCTGCAGATGGAATAATAGGTGATAACTTTTTAAAACAATATTTAGCGTTAATTGATTATGGTAAAGGCATTTTAAGCCTAACTCAGTCGTCTAAATCGATAAGTATGTGTATAAATAACAGGTATAAACACAACATACCTGCGAGGTGTGAAACTATTAAGTTCATACCTACGAATATAACCGACGATTGTGTCGTCCTTGCGAATGAAATAAGAGAGGGAGTATTTATTGCAGGTGTTTTGTCGAGGCCTAGAAACGGGCTTATCCCGATTAGAATATTAAATACGACGGAAAATGACCTAATTTATGATTTTTCTCATTTAGAAGTATATAGTTTGCATCATTTCGATGTTTGTAATTTTTCGGAAAGGGAAATTTCAGTAAATCGTGTAAAAACATTATTTGAACTTCTTAACCTAGGTTATTTAAACAAAGATGAACGACTAAGCATTGAGTCTATTTGCGCTAAGTACGCGGACGTGTTTCATCTCCCAGGTGATAAACTGTCAGTCACTAATTTAATGGAGCATAAAATTACTTTAAAGGATAATGCGACTCCTGTTTATATAAAACCCTACAGAATACCACACTCTTTAAAACCAGAGTTACGTAAACAAATACAGGATATGTTAGACAACGATATTATTGAGGAATCCACCTCGGAGTGGTCTAGTCCCGTCTTGCTTGTTCCGAAAAAGACCGACAAAAATAATGAAAAGAAGTATAGGTTTGTCGTTGACTATAGGCAATTAAATAATAGAATTCAAGATGATAAATTTCCACTTCCCAATATTACAGATATTTTAGATTCCTTATCAAATTCTATGTATTTTTCAAAATTAGATTTGTCCTAAAGTTATTATCAATTAAATTTAAATGAAAATTCAAGAAAATACACTGCTTTCCATTTAGATAGAATGTACCAATTATCCCTTCATCCCGATTCACGTAAGTGCACCGCTTTCACAGCTGATAAAATATACCAAATGAAGCGTTGTCCAATGGGACTCAAAACTAGTCCTAGCGTATTTTCTCGATTGATGACTATAGCTATGTCTGGATTGAATTATAATCAATGTTTTATTTATTTAGACGATTGTATCGTTATAGGAAATTGTATAGAAAATCATAATAAAAACCTAATTTCTGTGTTAGAACGCTTAAGAAAAGTTAATTTAAAACTAAACCCTTTAAAATGTGAATTTTTACGAACAGAGATAGTATACTTAGGACATAAAATAACAAGTAAAGGCATATTTCCTGATCCAAGCAAAATAACAACCTTGCAAAGTTATCCGACACCGACTAACGTTGACGAGGTCCGAAGATTCGTGGCCTTCGCTAACTATTATAGACGATTTATTTTACATTTCGCTGAAATTGCACATCCACTAAATAGACTTTGTAAAAAGAATGTTACATTTAATTGGACAGCTGATTGTGACGAAGCATTCAAAAAATTAAAATCTGCTTTAATAAAACCCCCAGTTTTGGATTATCCCGATTTTTCTGAAAATAATATTTTTAAATTGCAGACTGATGCCTCAAGAACAGGTTTAGGTGCAATATTATCCAATGGGAATGATAGAGTTATTGCATACGCAAGTAGAAGTTTAAAGCCCGCTGAGACGCGATATCCGATTATAGACTTGGAGCTATTAGCCATAGTTTGGGCAGTGAGGCATTTTCGACCTTATTTATATGGTAGGAAATTCCAAATTCTAACCGATCACAAGCCTCTTATTTATTTATTTTCTATGACAGATCCTTCCAGTAGGCAAACTAAATTTCGTTTATATTTAGAGGAATATGATTTTGAGATAGGCTATGTCCCAGGACGACACAACGCGGCTGCAGACGCATTGAGTCGCATCCCGGTGACATCGGATGATTTAAAAAATATGCGTGAACACTTAGTATCAGTACTTACTAGAGCACAAACAAAAAAAAATAGTCGTAATAAAAACTGTGACTTAGAGAATTATAGTAAGCCTGAAAATTTGCATAGTCATGGGACTGATCACCCCTTGGCCGTGGAAATTCTCAAGCCACCACCGGATATTATCGAATTATGTTTTAGTCACTCGGTCAAATATGACGGAAACGACGAAGTTTTTACGTCCTCAAGTGGAAATTGTGTATATGTACCAAAGCGGTCAATAATTTATCTAAATGCTCGATCGCTATCAGCTGTAGAAGCGTTAGCGAGAGATTTAGAGAGTTTTTGTAGTAAGTTAAATATCTTAGAATTGCTTATTATCAAAAATAAAATATATGAAGGACATATTAAGTTACTTGCAAGTACAATTAAAAAACTAAAGTTGAGTCGGCCGCGATTATTGATAACTAAAGATGTTAAGCGTATCAGAAATGAGGACGAAAAGATAGTTATATTAAATGACTTCCACTTGTTGCCCACCAGTGGGCATGCTGGGATAAATAGAATGCTAAACAATATTAAAAAATACTATTTTTGGCCAGGCATTACAAAGGATGTCGTTAATTATGTCAATAAATGTAAGCTTTGTCAAATAAATAAATACACCAATAGATACATTAAGGAACCTATGTCATTAACGACTACCCCTAATTCGTCTTTCGAAAGAATTAGTTTAGATATAATGGGACCTTTACAAGTTGACGATTACAATCATAGGTACATACTAACTCTACAGTGCGACCTAACAAAGTTCGTTGAAGCGTATCCCTTGCAGCGCAAAGACGCCGAATCAGTAGCGAGAGCTTTTGTAAATAATTTTATCCTTAGATATGGAATCCCAAAAGAAATAATTACAGACCAGGGAACAGAATTTCTTAACGAAATTATGACCGAAATATGTAGCTTATTAGGTATTAAAAAATTACAGTCCACTGCATATCACCATGAAACTATGGGATCGTTAGAAAATACTCACAAACATCTCGGCACTTTTCTAAGAATACAATGTGAGAGTCACAAAAGCAATTGGAGTAGTTGGGTTCCGTACTGGTGTTTCTCATTCAACACCTCGGTACACACACAAACAAAATATACTCCCTACGAGCTAGTGTTTGGAAAAAATTGTATTTTACCTAGTAACTTAAGTGACTCTGTAACTCCCTTATATAACTATGATGACTATCCTAAGGAACTTCGACATAGACTACAAAGAGCACTGTGTGATGCGCGAAAAAATTTATTAAGTAATAAATTATGTAGAAAAAGTACATTTGATAAAAATAGCTACCCGATATCATATAAAAAAGGAGATTTAATTTTGGTAAAAAATCAAATAAGAGATAAGTTAGATAGAGTGTATAACGGCCCTTATGAAGTAATAGAGGAATTGTCACCTAATGTAAAGATATTAAAAAATAATAGAGAGTACGTAGTACATAAGAATAATACGAAACTTTATAATGATAATATTTAGCTGAATGTATGTGGTTGAAAAAAAAATGTAACACTTTTTTTTTTCTTTTTGAGGAGAGGGGTGTAATGGAGATTTTTGGGGGGCGTGTGATAGTATGAAAATAATTTAATAAATATGTATTAATAATACAACGCAACATTGAATGACACGAAAGTAGGCCACGTGAAATGCTGATGTTTTGTAATTTTATTGTGTGTTATATTTTATAAGTGTGTGTGTGTGTAACTACGTAGTGCACTAATATTATAAATAAGTATGTTCTGTACCATTAAGCTTCTTCAATAAATGGACACCAACCTATCTACGTCTTTGTATTTATTATAACCTGCCGCCATCACCCAACATACCACAGGCTCATTTGTTTACTTTTTGGCTCAGAGGATGTGAAATAGAGTAATTACAGTAAAACGTTTACTCACAGATAGTAAGCATCGAGAACAGCTAGTGCGGAAGGATGTAATGTTCGCTCTAAATCTCCACGTTGCTGTAACATAGTCTCAACATCTTGCTGCGGTCGGTTCAGAATCACGCCGAGGGTTTGAACGCTCGCGGGCATCGCTTCCTCGAAGCCACACTCCGCCAAATATTTGAGGGCCGTCTGAAAGAAACGGAATATTATATAGTATTCGTTTTATTTTATACTAGCCGCCGCCTATGACTTCGCCCGCTTTAACTTTACTTTTTTGAGCATCCCTCGGGAACTTAGCATTTTTCGGGATACAAAGATGATATGTCTCAATCCAGGTTATAAATTATATGAGTACCAAATTTTTAACCGACTTCAAAAAAGGAGGAGGTTCTGTGTTCGACTGTATATATACACAGTCAGGTCATAAGTATTGTCACACAGTAAAAACTTTTCTTTTAGAATGCTGGCCACAAATTTTTTTTTATTGAATTCGAATTTCGAATTGTTCATGAAAATAAAAATGTATACTTTTTAGAATTTTACTCATTTTTAAATATGGAGTGGACGCTTAAAGAAGACCGTGTTGCAGTTATTGCGTTACATCGTTGCAGTTACGCCAATTCAAATTTTTGACATATTGAAAAATTTGAATATAACCAAAAGATTAAAGAAGGCGAATTCAAAGAAATCCCAAACGTAAGCAGAAACTGTTGGCCCTTCAGATGGGGTTAAGCAAAACCACGGTGAAAAGGGTGTTAAATGAAGACTTAGAGCTTCGGGCATATCGAAGAAAAACAGGACACCGTTTGAATGCTCGTCTAATGGAACTGAGACTGAAGAGATGCCGCGCTTTGTTGAAGCGGATCGCGGGGAAAAAATATCGGGAAATTCTTTTTTCGGGTGAAAAAATGTTTACCGTAGAAGAGAGCTACAACAAACAAAATGATAAGGTGTACGCACACCTAATAATCGAGGGAAACCTTCAAATTTCAAAGGCACGCACGATGTCTTTTTATGCATTTTCACCGATTTCTCCGTCAATTGTGTTCTTGTTTACTTGGACGATGTAATTTTCACTAAAATGGATGAAATAAAAAAAAGCCGACTTAAAAATCGAAAATGGAACCAAAAAGTAAAAAATAATATCTGGTTCATGATTAGGAAGTCGGGCGGGTCAAGATTGAAAAACGTATTTATTTTATTTTTTACTTTTTGGTTTCATTTTCGATTTTTAAGTCGGTTTTATTTTTTGTTTAAAGGAGATTGGTCAAATTGACCCAAATGTACAAAAAAAAATTACATATACGGTAATTCTTGGCGTAATTTATACTTAATTTTACAGTCATTACATTTTAACGGACACCTTTGTATAATATATTCATTTTAAAAAGGACTTTTAATTTTACTGGTTTGGCAAAACATACGAATCATTTTTAATGGCTATGGGTGTAGTAACATTCAGCCAAAAACTGATCGAACAAGTCTATTTTGTAAATATCGATAAAATTAAACATTTTTTATATTACACTGTGGTATTAATAACAACAACTATATTATCATTTTCACTACATGCAAATGTGCTTACACAATTATTATAGATGGTAGGCGACATCACAAAGTTTATTGCCATACATTTTTCGCCAAACATTTATGGAGGATAAACAGATTATTAAGTATGATATACTAAAAATCTAAAATATGGTTATAATGGTGTCGATTCTGGCGTGATTCTCTAAACTTAAAACTAAATTTAACATCAATCTCTCCTTTTCATTCCGTATAGAGAATGACAAGGATACACTGTTGTCAAATTTAAGTTTAGGTTTAGAGAATCGTGTCAGAATTGACACCAATATAAACATAAAAATAAATAATGAAGCTACTGAAGATATGGTTGTATAACTTAATCTCTAAGCTTTCTTTGGTTAACAAGAGTTTAAAAATTCTCTCTAATCTGTGGCTCATTCACAATCATCACACAGTTTTTGTCACAGAGTACCTTATTATAAATGAATGCATAGATGACTTTAAAAGTTACTCTTATGCATTAACTTTAAAAACAGGCAACTGTATGTAAATGTACATGCTCTATATACCTGAATCTAATACATAATTTCGGTACTTGGCTTGATTTCCCTATTTCTATATAACTTATTTGTTTTTTATTATTTTAATACCTATGTACCTATTTGCAAACATAACATCAAAATCATTCAGTGTATATGGTTTATAGAAGTTCTCAGGGGTGTCCGTCAATAATATTCGTTTCTACAGTAATTTATATATAATTTCGAATCTAGGAAACAATTTTTCATGATTATTGGTCTTTAGGCGAAACATGTATGGAAGATGAGCAATCTCCTTTTTTTATCTAAATCCGTTTAGTAGTTTTTGCGTGATTAAGTAACAAACATACATTTATAATATTATATAGTAGGAGTAGGATCTTATCAGAGTAATGGCCTGCGCAGACGAGGGACTTTTGTCCGTGGTAGAAAAAAGTCGCAGAATTGTGAAAAAACTGTCCGCCGAGGACTTGTCACGGACGCAGACGATGTACATCATTTGTTGACCTGACATTCAGAGAAGCGCACGCTATGGAAGTAAATATTCTCAAGATTCGCTTAAGCATTAACTGATACGACATTGTTTAATTAGTTTAAGTTTAGGGTTTAATGACACAAAAAAGGACATATAAAAGTATTTCATGAGTTGAATGGATGTATGGGCCTAGTATCCTCTGCTTTTAAGTAAAAATAAAATATGTCATTAAAAAAATAATTAAAAATACAAAAAAACATACAGCAAGCAATCTGTGCAAGCAATGCAAAACAATTGCAAACAATGCGAGTCATTTCAGTCAGAAAATACATTGATATTCAAAAGATACAAGATTAATAATGCAACCGCTACCCAAATATAGCAGTTATCATAATAGCAACAAGTATAAGTACTGTTCTTCCAAATAGGACTTATTAGTGACAATAAGGCCAAATCATGCTCCGGACAATTTGCATCAATGCTGCGACGCGGCTCCTCTCCGTTTATATTCAGTAAAAGAAACCAATGTAGGTATTAACTTACAAAGTTACGCTATAATTGATTGTTCCTTTAGTAGTTTCTTTTTAAGATGTTTTCTAAAAGTGTTAATATGTTGATATCTATTTATTTATTTATTCTTTATGCACAAATGTACAATGGCGGAATTAATGCCGTAGGCATTCTCTACCAGTCAACCATAGGATGTTGTGGAGATTATTAGTGGTATGGTGCACAACTGAAGTGGAAATCACATGGAAAGAAAGTTTATAAAAATAATAATATATAAAAATACACATACATAAGTTAATATATTTAAATAAATACACAAATACATACATACTTCCAAAATAAATACAAAATAATGACGACAAACCACTCAATGAAACGCCTGTTCTAATAAAAAGCTTCGCAGTTTGGTTTTAAAGGTATATTTACTGGGGGACATTCTGATATCTAGCGGGAGATCATTTCACAAAAGTATCGTTTTTACGAAGAAGGAAGAGTGAATAATATCGGAGCAGTGTGATGGAACGATAAGTAAACGATTAGAAGAAGATCGTAGATTTTTACTATGAGAGGTACATAAGTACTGAAATTGAGAAGTGAGATAAGGGGGAGCATTTGGAGAATCCAGCAAAGAGAACCTAATCTAGCATATCTAGATTTTTATGCCTATTAGAGCCCTCCTCTCTAGCTCTATTTAATATTGCGCACTGAATTTTGCGCGACACATTTACAGTAATTGTGTTGCGGTGACATAGTATCCAGTACTATGTCACGGCAAAAATAATCGTGTGATTTAGGGAATTTCCGCTTAAGTTTACTTTTGTACAATTATAAAAGCATAATATTTACAGACACAATAACACGGTACTATTAGTGACCATATTATGACAAAACATTAAAGACATAAATAGTGCAGTCATTGTAAACAGAAAAACAAAATCTGTTTTGAAAGTCCTGTTGGTAGCTATTTATTTGTATGAGATGTTTTGTAATTTGAACATGGCCCTGTATTAATCTGTACTGAAGAAAATGTAGAAAGAACTTGGGTTAGTTTTACTGTGCGCTGTAGGAATTACAATACAAAATATATAAAAAAGGTCCCACGCCGCATATGTCTGTCGGTATGTTCGCGATGATCGGAAAAATAACTATTGAACAAATTTCCGATTCGGAACTTTCACATTTTTAATACTCGTATGATACACACGGCGATTGTTCTGAGTTATTCCCCTTTATTCCACCATCCCATTTTCTTGAGAGGACCACAGAGGCCTACGTTGTCATTGATTTACTGCGGCCACTATTCCTACACAAACAAAGAAATTTGGTGACTCATTTTTTTGTCGTACTATTCGCAAGTGGATTTCTTTGCGCACTGACGTGTTCCCTCCTTCCTACAATCTGGGGCCCTTTAAGAGAGGGGGTGAAAAAGCATTCCTGCAGGCCGGCAAGGTGAAGATGGTTGGTATGGCAGTTTATAACTGCTGCACTAGCTATCTTCGCATCTGGCCTTTATCACTACTTAACATCAGATGGGGTAGTCATTTACCTACCTAGCTATATAAAAAAAATAGTATCACTCATCTTACCGCAGCAATACCAAGTTTTCCCATGGAGGCTGCCGTTTGTGCCATGTCAGCAAGAACTTGGGGTTTACTGGGCACGCCAGCTGCTTCGTTCCTCTTCAGTCGATTCAACGCTTCAGATACGGTATCCCAATCAGGCTCAGACTTTTCTTTCACATCCGAACAAAGGGCGACTATGTTAGCCATCGCGTCCGCAGAAAGTCTAAAATATTTATTGTTTTATAAAAGAGTCATTGAGGCAAAGCCTTAGGCAAACAAAATTTCTCTAAATCTGAGTATTTACCCTATTAGTATTTTGGCAGGTAGTATTTTGATTACATTTTATATGATTAATATATGTAAGTACTGCTTACTGTGTTTTCCTTGGGATACCAAAATTAAAGTCGAAAATCTTCAAAATATGTCATGATTTGGTGTTTTACAGATAAGGTATATCTTACTTTTGCTGTGGGGATCTCCTGTCCTGTTTGTTAGCGTTTTGTATTTCTTCATCAGTGAGCTGGCCGTATTTTATAATGTCTGACGCAGCATTGCGTATCTTTGCTTTGATGTCATCAGCTGAAAACAAATAAATATTTAAGAAATTTCCGCTTTAAAGTCATCAGCTGAAAACAAATGAATAATTAACAAATTTCCTGAAAATGACTAATTACTTGTTTATCTTAAGCACAGTTTCTTTAAATAAATCAGTTTTTCAATTTTCTTAGAAAAATATAACAAGAGATAAGGTTATTTATGTGTAAGAATTTAAATATCATGTACCAGCTATAGGTACTTATAAAAGAGAAAGTTTAGTTTAGTGTCGTTATTACTTTTTCACTGAAAACTATAATTGGGAACTGTATGACCTTTAGTGATGAATGCATCAATTACTATTTAATGTCCACTCAGAACATATTGAAAAATAGCCAACTAAAGATTAAAAGCCATCCCTGCTGCATATGTTCGTATGAGTTGTCTTGAATTACATAGTATTATTATAATTTATTTATTTAATTGCATATTCGACAAAACGAAGTTTATGTGTAACCTGACATCAAGGCCGAGAGCAATTTTGTATAGAAAAAAAATCTTTAGATATGCAAATAAAAGTAATTGGATGTGGTGACAAATAATAAGTCAAGAAATGAATGAAATTACATACATTGGTACTCGTAGCAGTTGCACATTGCCTGCAGTAGTCTTTCAACTAGTTTGGTTCGGTTCGCGATGCCGAAAACGACTAGTTGGGACCACGCCTGAGCTAATCTGTCTCCGGCGCCGGCCACTTCCAATGTCTTTATTATCTAAAAAAAGTATTTCAATATTTTAACGCGATATGTGAGTCAGGAATACTTCATTTATATTCATATGTAATATTCTAATGGTGAAAGAATTTTCAAAATCAGTCCAGTTTGTATTTGAGATTCTTCGTTATAAACGCAAACCATTTTTTCTCTTTACATTATAAGTATAAATTATACAGCTATAACCGTACCAAAAAGTTACTAAGGCGTTCAACATCAGTTTAAGTTGAAACTTTTATACAAATTTTGTTAATTTATGTTTTGTTAATTTATGTTTTGTTTTGTAGTACAATCTTAAGGTAAGTTGACTTAGTTTGAGCTTGTGTTACACTGTTTAGTTACAAGAAGGTATTAAATACATTTCACTGTGAAAATTCAATTAAATTAAAATCTATTTTAAACAGAACTGAGGCAAGGGAGGAGAGTAGTGCAAAAATGTTGGGTGTTTATATTATGTCACCTTTGCAGTAGAGTTTTCCCTCATCTAATAATTGACGTTTTCCTCTTCCACCACATTTAGAAACCTTTTGAACTATTATATTTTTAGCGAAAATATTTTTATTTTAATTTTGGACCTTATCAAAAGCAAAAGTACTTATACAACAAAACAAATTATACACAAACCTCTTCCATAACTGTAGGTTCAGGCACATAAACGTTAGGTACTAAGGTATCTAATAGCTGTGTAGTTCTTTCAAACGACGCATGCCTGAAACAATTATGCCAACAGTTAATAAGAAAATATACAAAAAAGCCGAAAGTTCCTCTCGAATTAACATTTAAAATATAACAAACCTGCATGCAACTGTAACAAAATGCCTGTAATAAATGCTCTCCTTGTAGGCGTCACCCACAAGTTTGTAATTGTCGCCTTTCATAAGTAGAGCGTGCAATCTTTCAGCCAAATTTATGTTCTGGAAAGACGAAAATAGGATTATGGTATTTGTCCAATGCAATGGTGCGGGGAATTTTTATAAGGCCTCAATGGCACACATTATTTTATAAAAAAAGTAAGACTGCTTATATTTAGATTAAAATTTAGAAAATGTTTGCTTAGAAGGGACCCAAAAACAAATAAGTTATTAAACTATGACGACCTCTATGGCCGAGTGGTTATTACGCCGGGTTTCATGGTGTCGCCGTCTCGAGAGGTCCCGGGTTCGAATCCCGGTGGGGGCAGATGTTTGTGTATATACGAGCATTTGAGCTCCAGTCATGGATGTTTAAATATGTATTTCTAAATAAATATACTTATATATGTACAGTATATGTATTCTATCCGTTACCCTAGCATCCCATAATACAAGCCTTACTGTGCTTACTTTGGGGCTAGGCTAATTGGTGTGAGTTTGGAAATATTTATGATGTACAGAAAGCCATAGGTCAAGTTACCCAAAAATTTGAAATTTCTCTGAATTTGAGTTTTATCTTCATTGATTTACGATTCGTAATCGATCGATCGAGGTGACTTCATCGTGCCTGATTGTCCATAAATATGCTTTATTAATTTACCTGCAAGTGATCACTGCACACTCCCATCGCAGTGATGAAGAAATTCGTATCTGTGACATCTTGCGGTATCAATTTTTCTCGTTTTTCCAAATCCGTTAGTATGATAGAGAGTATATCGATACGAGGACCACCTGTACACAATTTTATTAAGGGCTTATTTTTCGTCCATTTCGAAGATTCAGAATGCTATTTAAAACTTTTCAGAATTGGATATTATTCTGTTGTTTATTTGCGATATGCAACTCAAAACGACTTATTTAATCCCAAACTAAGTGAGTATGTGTAACTCTATTATAGATACTAACAACTTAACAAAAAGTAGTTAAAGAAGACTAAAGTTAAATGTGAACTCAAACTGTTGCTTTCAATTTTGTTTGTTAAAAAGAAGACAGAGACAACATTCGGTTTAAACCAAGACTAGCTTTAGTCCGCGTTTTAGAATAGGGCGTTATGTGTTCTTTATTAATTTCGGGAAGTATTAATGCGCTTTACATATCACAGGAGAAGGCGCAGAAAGCAATGCAAAAAACCATTTGTTCAACTATAATGAATATGTACCTATGTCATAGGACGATTCGATAAATCGAATTTTTCGTTAAGCAATGTCTGCGCCATTGTATAATGATCCGTGTTTTCGTAAAATCCCTTGGATTTTCGCGAAAATTCTATTTATCATAAATCATCCTGTGACATGTAGGTACCTATAAGGACAAATAAAAAAACTTTCTATTCAAAGTTAAGTACTTACGCTCTTTACAGTAAAGGCAAAGCAGGTAGTAATATGCTGAAAGACCTGGTTGAATACCCAACTTCCTGAACTCTATTATAATTTGCTGAGCCAGCTGCTGCAGAATCTTGCCACCGCCCCACGCAGATATTGATCTCAGGCATGATGTTAAAGTCTCTTCATTGGGTGTTAAACCCTACATGAAATGTAATAATACTTTATTCAAATTGACTTATAGAAAGCTCTTTTGATTCGTCCAATATTTTTTCCTACCACCCATTCAGGACATCTTTTAGCTGATGTGAAGAATGGACGCAAGAAACTAACGATATTAAATACCCTAGATACACCAACACGAACAAAATTGTGCCCGAAATCTGTCCAAAAAGGTACATTGGACGATCCACGGAGCTCCGTAAGATGATCGCGTAGTCAAAAAGGCATTATTTAAACATTGAGTTTTAATGCATACTGTATAAGGTTTCAATTAAAACGCAAGCGTCAAAGAGATATGACAGTTCGAAATGCAAGCTCGTAAAATTTTACGATTCATTGCTATATGCGGAAGAATATAGACATTATATCTTTGACTCTATGCGCACTTCTGAATGCACTGTTAGCAATATAGCAGGTACGGACCACTAGGAAAAAAAGACGGCTATATAACCGACCATGCATTTGAATATCACTTTCTATTATATTCTATTAAATCAACTTATAGTAAGTATTAGAACAAAATTTGTTTCAAAGGCGTTACATTAACAAAATTCCTGTCGAAAAAACGACACTTTACATACTACAAGTATTTTTTCGCATTTTTTCATGGAGCTCTGCAGCAACTTGACTTTTCAACGGTCCGCACGTAACTGTGATCCAAGAAGTGCTCGAGTGGTGTTCAGGCACTTCTTGATTGGGACACATTTTGAGGTGTTCTAGGGTTTTTAATATCGTTGCAACAAACTCATCAGCCTTTAACAGAAGTAGCAACATTACATAACATGATGTCCTTATCCACTCACATTTTGCTTGCTATGTAATGCAGTATAAATAAAAATAGTGTTATCTATCTACATTTGGTATATACATAAAATTTAGATAGAACAATAAATCTAGTTTTATCTATTGGACTATATAAGTAGCAAGATAATTTAATGCTTACATAATTTGTTTTCTTTGACTTCGTGATATAGTAAATCATCAATCACTTTTTAATAATTATATTGTTAGTGTTGGTTACTTTTAGAGTTACTAGCAAGGCTGTGTAGTATTGATTTTGTAAGTAAACTTGTCTTTACAAGTAAATTTTTATACTGGTCATTGAAACAAAATAATGAAAATAAAAAAAAACAATATCATAATTGAGGTTCTAATATAATTCAAAATTGATTAATCAAATACCTGCTCTTCCATTTGGGCCAGCAACTGTTTGAGTGCCTCAACACGTAATGAAGTCCCTTCTTTTAAAAAACCAATACAGCCCAAAAGACCATTAAATGTACTTGTTGACAATGGAATGCCTTGTTCAATTGCTTCCTGGCATAACATATGAGCTCTTTTTGCCTGAAATATGAAAAAATAAAACAAAGAAAATTATGAATTCTAAAGCAACATAAAAGTTTGTATTATATTACTTGATATTTTGACCATTAAATTTATTAGGAAAACATGTATTTTTTTTTATTGAACAAATAAGTTTTAATTCAATTAATACATAGTAAATTTTTCCTGTCCTCTGACATATATTCTATATCATTTATAAATACATGCCTGGTAGTGTTTTGCCATTCCTTGAATTATAGTACAATATGCTTCAGAGGTTTTTTGTTCAAGTGATGCAAAGATTTTATCTGCAAGCCCTCCTAATCTGTTTCAAATAGATAAAATTAAATATAAAGAGGATCTATGTTGATTAATATTTTGAGTATAGTATCTAAAGCTTTAGGTTTTTTAAACATAATTTAAAAATGCATTTGTATTTCATAAAATTACTTCCAAGTCGCTGCATGTCTGTCTCTAGTATTGGCTGAAAACCATCTCTCTTCAAGCCACTCCATAGAATCTGGTTCTTTTTCATTGTAGAAGCACAACAGTTGCAAAAATGATAATTTCAGATTGTAATCTGCTACACCATCTATTCCACCAAGGAGTTGGAATACTTTTACAGAATCTTCTAATAAAGCATTTTGAATAGTATGTTTTAAGTCTTCTTCTGTGACCTAGGACAGAAAAATAGCATAACTTTGAATTTAAAGTTATTTTAATAATTTTATTAACATCAATAGTAAATTCAGTAAATACAAAGATTATAAATTTTCTCAAAGTTATGTATGAATAACGTCTTAATTAGTAAGGATTAATAAACATCATTTAAAAATTAATGCCAGTCTGCTTATGTATTACATGTTGTAGTTAAATAAATTTGAGAAGTTTCAATGAAATACAGAGATTAAGAAAACTAACCGTGCTTTCATCATTGTAAATTGGTCTAGGTGTAAAGGCATCTATCTTAGGATCAGCATTAAAGTAAGGAGTTTTTGTTTTGCCTGGTGGGTCCCATTCTCTAGTTGTGAACAACTCTGCATGCTCATCTCTTATCCAAGCTGCTGCTTTACGACCAGCCTCTGCCGAGAGGGCATATGCTCGCTTGCGGTAATTTGACAAAGGGATTAAGTAAGGGTCATCATGGTACCTATGTGTAAATAAATTATCATAATATCAAGCATTACCTACATACTAAAATAAATTAAAAATAGTAAGTAAAAAATGTAAATAACATTAAAATTTTAAAGTAAAAATAACCTACTTATAATGGGCAGCAGTAGGATCGGGACCAACTGTCGATGCTAGCGCTTGTAAGATATCAGTAGGACCTCTTTGAATCCTTGGAGGTGGTGAAATGCCATCACTGGATTTACTACTCTGGGGTAGTTTCTGGCCCTCGATAGAAGATAAAGATCGACAAAAGCAGGTAAATCTTGACCATCGGCTGCGAAAAAAGTGATTTATAGCCGAATTATACATTAAAATCACTGTACACATACATTACACATAACCTCTTCTATCTTCGACAGTAAAACATTTAAGCTAACTTACGTAGGCAAGATAATATTAGAATACATTTTTCTTTTTATTAATTTAGTACTTAATAATTATTAATAGCTTTTTATTAGAAAGCTATTAGATTTCTACACTTTGATCTTAGCCAAAAGGCCGAGAAGCGATACTATTAGATTTCAGTCTTCGTTACCTTCCTATTTACTTGGTAAATGTCACAACAAATGTCAAAAAGTTTTTTTTTGTTCTATTCTTCCCTATTTGTGAAAGGCAAAGGCAAAACCATACAGCCAGCGCCTTATTATTATTTTTTGGCTAATGTGCCTTCCTTCTGGTGCCCATCTGCCAGTGTCCCGTACTGAGAGATATCAGCGTCGAATTGTCAGTGGAGTTCTGGAAAGACGTGCACATATATTAGTTTTGAAAAAGGGAATATGAAGATAGGAGCCGCTTCCTGTTTTTTTTACACACGATTGTATGCATTATTATTGTTGTATTAGAAAGAGTTATGAGGAATTTAGAGTCCGTTGTAGTTACAGTATACGTTTACAGTTTAATATTGTTATCATGAATAAACTACAAGATAAGAATTATTTGAGAAGAAAAAATTGCCAAAAGTGATCGGATGTTTATTGGAAGTGGTAACTTAATTTTTACCAACTCGCTGTAGAGAATAAAAGATTTTCGATTTGTTGCGCAAGAGAAAAGTATGTGGTCTATTGTACCCTCATCAAGCCCACATTATGGAGCTTATGTAAGAATACTGGGGAACAGCAGTGTCCGAGGCGTAATCTTGATAAAACTGATATAACTTGTTTAGGTAAGTTGTAAAACCACGGTTTTAATTGTATATCCGGTTGGACCAAGATGAATTCAACTTAGCCTTAGCGCAATTCAGAAGATTATAATTACTTACAAAGAAGTGTTTCCGAGAGACGGCATACTTTGCTAGGGAATCTGCACATTCATTGCCTGCAATGTCCGAATGACTACGAATCTAAGCAATGGAAACGGTCACAGGCGCGGTCACAGCGGGGGGGGGAGGGTCACAGGGGACATGACCCCCCATAATCTAAGGTTAAATTGAAAAATCTTGTGTTAAAAAGTGTCTTGTGGAATAATGTTTGTTTTATTATAGATACCGATTTTTTATTAGTGTAGTGAGTGACCCCCTCCAAAATTTCGCAGTCGCAGTTTGATAATTTGTTTCTAATTTGGATGACATTTTCACTTTTTATTTTGCTGTAAAGGGGGTCCTGTATTAATGCCTGAACACTACTGTACGAGGCCGAAAAGATAACAGAGTTTTTAATATTATGACTTGAATGTATTCCACGGCTTCCAATATTCCTATGCACTCGCCCGTAAACACCGACGTTCCTGGGGGACACTGGAACTGAAAGTAAATTGCAACTCCTGTACAGCTTGTCTCCAAAATTTTAGAAGCGTCAGTGAAGAAAAGGTTCCAACCCTCCCATCGACTGTCAACTATTGACCTGAACTCCGATTTTGCATACGCTGAGGATTTAGTTATACACAGATCTAAAATAATATTTGGTGTTTTAAAGTGCAAAGAATCGTATGGGAAAGAAAAGACAATCCGCTCTCAAAACAGTGGTTAGCTAAGTTAAGGAGGTATTGGCGACAGCCCTGATTGGCCTTGGATATAAAGGAGTATGGGAATCCATCCACCCCGGGTGCTGAGTCCTGGACATGATTCAGAACAGTTAACATTTCATTCATGGTGAAGGGGGGATCAAATGGGTCACCCGATGAAATTGGGAGTGGATCAACCACCTCGCCAGTCAAGAGTCAATAGGAAAATAGGGAGGAGCAATTTTAGAAAAAAACTGATTGGCCACTTTCCCCTACCCTTTGGGGGATTTGGTTGAAAACCTCGTCTAAAGCATTTTATTTTGTTCCAAACAATGGAGACCGGAGTAGAAGGGTTAAGGGAGCTACAGAAAGAGCTTTCTCTCTTTTTCTTTTTAAAAAGTTTTTTTCATTTTGCCGCAGATTTTTTATATTTGATAAGATTAGTTATGCTCATTGAACTATTGTATTGTCTTTCTGCCTCCTTTCTTAATTTGATAATTTTTGTGCACTCATTATCCCAACAAGGGGGAGGGGGGAAGCTATTTTACCTTATTTAGATCATTTCATCGGTAGGCAGTCATCCGCAGCCGAGGCGATAGTCGCTGAAAAAGCCGAGTGTAGGGAATCTGTGTACCTTCGATAATGTTCCCTACATTTATTTAATGAAAACTATTAAATGTAGACTGATAATTTATTTGCCTTTGTTCTACATTAACATTTTCGACATATTGTTACTATCTAATCGCTATAGCAACGACACACACCGAACCATAAATAAAACAAAGATATTCTCTACACGTGGGAACGAAATGGATATCTCTAACACACTCCCGACCCGAAACAAAAACGAATAACACAAGAAACTATAATCCGCATAGCCAATTAACGCAACAAAAACATTAAACTCTTAATAATATACGAATAGAACCCAAAAACAGAGAGTAGGTACCTACTACTACTAGTAAGTCAAGTATTGTATCGCGCAGGAAATCTTATACTTCGGCCAGAACGAGTTGTTCTTTTAGTGTTCGTGCTGCCTGGAATAGTTAGTGATTGATCATCATCTTCATTTTCAACTCCCCGTACAGCATTAGAATCCTGTTCAATCTCAAGAGGGTACAGACTCTTAGCTTACAAGCTCTTAGCTTTTCACCCTTTTGAGTTCTTACTTTCGCTAGACGAGTAACACCATCGGCTCCAGTGAATAACTCAATAATTAAACCTAATGGCCAATATAGTCGTTTTGCATCTGTTCCAATTAAAACTATATCTCCTTTTTTCATTTCTCTTGTCTTTTCTTTCCATCTCGACGCAAGTAATCCTAAATATTCTTTTCGGAACCTTGTTCTAAAGTCATCTCGTAACTTTTGCAGATACTTGTACCTTAAATTTAAATTTTTACTATCTACATAATCAAGATCTGGCGTATCACTCGTAGGTAATCCATGTAGGAATACCATAGGGGTGATTGGCCTTAAATCATCGGCACTCGTAGAGACATAGGTCAATGGACGACTATTGATGACTGCTTCGCAGTCACATAAAACTGTACTCAATTCGATCAGTGTCAAGGACTGTCGTCCTAATATTCTACGCAGCATCTCCTTTAGTACTCTTACTAGCCTTTCCCACCACCCTCCCCACCAGGGAGCTCCAGGTGGATTGAAGCGCCACTTTATAGAATGTGTAACGGTTGAATTTTCTATCTCTTTCCAATTTAAATGTTTCAGTAAGTTGGCTGTCCCTTGAAAATTTGTACCGTTGTCCGTGAAAATTACGTCAATGCGGCCCCTTCGAGCGATAAACCTGCGAAGACTCATAATAAAACTATTCGTAGATAATGAATCTGTAAGCTCAAAGTGCACTGCTCTAAAAGTTGCACAGGTAAATAAAACTACCCAACATTTTTCTTGATTATGCAAATACAGTGGCCCCGCCAGATCTATACCTGTAATCTGGAAAGCTGCTGTACCTTCAATTCGTTCCACTGGTAATGGTGGCTCTGGTGTTTCGTAATATTTGCTTTTATATCTAAGACAACGGACACACCTTTTGACAACATCTTTACAAAGCCACCTGGTACTTGTGATCCAGAATCTGTTTCTTAATTCAGACATCAATGTCTGCGCCCCTGCATGTTTTAAGTCAACATGTCTTTCTTGTACTAATCGCTGTACAATAATGTTCTTTCCTGGTAAAATTATTGGGCAAAAAAATCTTTGCTATCGTTTCCTAAATCTAATCTAGTACGTACTCTTCTAACACTATCTTTATCTTTGTATATGTACAGTTTCTTATTTAATTTTATTATATTTACATAATATTCCTCTTGAATCATTCGAATAAGAATTAATTCCGCTTCAGCGTACTCTTCATTATTTATATAATTTTTATAATATTTTCGCGTTTTACGGTATCTCCATCTAAGTGTCCATGCAACCACTCGAACTATCTTAGAATACTTAGAAAAGTATAGAAGCCTGTCACTAAAACGTTCTATATTTACATTAATATTTGCCAATGTCTCCTTTTTTGCTTCAGTGTAAATAATATTTTCATCAATTGATTCAAGATTCCATTTTGGCCACTGATCTGCATTTAGTCGCAACCAATCTGGGCCAGTCCACCACTGACCTTTGATAAGGGTTTTAGCACTACAACCACGTGAAAGTAAGTCTGCGGGATTGCAATCGCCCGGAACATGGTACCATTCTTCCTTTTTGGTATAAGTGCAAATTTCTTGAATCCTATTGCTTACAAACGGCTTCCAAGTATGACGTCTTTGTATCCATGCAAGAACGACAGCTGAATCTGTCCAACAGTATATTTGTCGTTCAGAACCAGTATTTATAGTATCTGTCACTTCCTTTAAGAGTCGCGAAGCAATGAGTGCACCCATCAATTCTAGTCTAGGAAGCGTGATCGATCGCTTGATAGGCGCTACTCTATTCTTTGCCATTACTAGTCTGACAGTTACCTTACCCTTGCATTCTGTCCGTAAAAACACGCACCCTGCATAAGCGTCAATCGAGGCATCGCAAAAAACATGCAGACTTCACAATCTTTCAATAATGACTCCGATAAACGTCTCGGCAACCTGCAATTATTTAGAAAATGAATATGACTCAACCAAGTCTTAAATTCTTTTTCCAGTTCGACGTTGATGCTTTGATCCCAGCTCGTATTATCTATCCAAGCCTTTTGAACTAGCAACTTGGGTATTAAAGTTACTGGTGCAAGGAATCCTATTGGATCAAATATTTGTTGAGTCAATGATAATAGGTGTCTCTTTGTAATTTGATCCGGTATTGGGTTCCTAATGCAAAGATTACACTTTAATTCATCTGTAATAGTATCCCATAGCACTCCTAAAACAGATTGACTCTGGATGGTGTTATCTACTCTTATCGGAGCGCTAACCCAACATCGTAAGTCAAATCCACCTCTCAACATGATTTCTTTTGCCTCT